TTCTAAATTATTAAAGGAGTATTCAGTTTTATTGATCTTTAACGGCCATGCAATGGATATCAAAACTCTACAGTTAGTTGAGCGAGCTAGGTCAAATAACCTTCGTATAATTGTGATTCCTCCGCATAATTCGCACAGAATGCAGCCTTTGGACGTTGCTTTTATGTTACTTCTGACCAATTACTACAGACTATGAATTACTGGATAAACAAACTGGAAAAGTTGTAACGTTATATAACTTATGAATTATTTGGATCTGTTTTTAATGTTTTTAATAGAGCTTCTACAACACAAACAGCACTTAATGGATTTGACCGTATAATCCTCACATATTTCCGGGAGACTTATTTATGCCAGCAGATACTATTAATAGAGAACCTGACGCCTATAGAGCTTCTCCTCGACCAAGACAATCTTGCACTACAATAGGATCACCAAGCAATTACTTGCTAGTCCTTCCTCATGATAAGACACCTTCACCGAGAACATATCCATAACATAAACCCTCACCAAGACCTTTATATATACTGCTCATGCGAAGACATCCTCCCTGAAGTTATCTGGACCACATGCAAGTAAACTTTATTACAGCCCACAAGATAGTATGCCTAAAGCAGACCCAAGAGGAACACAACTATCTGCCAGACGAAGAAAGACAATGATCTTGGCTGCTACTCCTAAATTTGAAGAATTAAAAATCCAACACAGCAGCTAAAGGCAAAAATCGTGACCGTTAAACGCAAACTGAATTCTGATAAACCAAAGAAATCAAAAAATAAAAGAAACTTGTAGTATAGACCTACAGTTCTGATAGATCGAGCGAAAATTATCTTACGATATCAACAGATTTGTAGTAGCTACTGCGAATTTTATACTAAGCAGCATAATCCATTCTACAGAAAGAAAGTAAACAAAGAAGACATTAGTGAAAACGATTTTTCTTAGGGTAAAACTGATAAAAAAAAAGTTTGTTGCTCAAGGTATGGACACTGAAACTAGCAGCTCTGATTAATGTGTTAACGTTAGGTTTCCTTAAAATATTATAGACAAGGCAGAGCTGTTTTTACATTTCCAGAGGTTCTTGACTTGCCGAGAATGAATTATTCATAATGGAAATTTTGGGAAAATTAAAAGTGAGAATATTGAAGCATGGAAAAATTAATATTCTGTGACTAAGCTATTTCTCCTAAACATATTTTTTGATGTCTTTGTAGTTTTGTAGTTTTTCATTCCATTTTCCTAACTGTTATTCTTAAATCTAGGACTTAGATTAAAAATGTAGTGTTATCCGTTGTATTTCTACTTTACCCCATATATATTTCCCCAATTCCCCATACTTTAACAATAATATGCCAAACTGAACTGTTTAAAAAACTAAAATATTAAATAAGGGTTCCACTTTACCCCAACTTCTCCTACTCGTGTTCCAAACATGCTCCAATAAGTTTTAGTTGTGCTCCTATCGCAATAATGTCTACCATCTCCTATTTGTAAATAGTTCTCTTAGGTGCAGTATTGAACAACGGATTTTTGTAAGCAGTGGATAAAGTTAAAATAAATCAATGATATCTCTCTCGAAGGGAAAATTCCAGGAAGTTTGTAAACTGAGCAGAGCATTATAAAATGATTTAACAGCATTTCGTTTTCTCTTCGTCTACATTTCTGCCCATTAAATATTAAAGTTTTTAGTTGGTGTTTTGGATTAACGACAATTGGTAATCGTTTCCCCATTTGTGACTTACCGATGGAAACAAACTTTAATTAAAAAAAAAAAAACAAGAAAACGATTAAAAAGGTTTTTTATGTAATGTAATCAGAATAATTTTTATGTAATTAGAATAATTTTAATATAAATTACCTATTTATTATCATACAAAATTACTAAATTGTCATATGAAAATCATAAATGATTTCAATCAACTTTATACAGTGTCACAAAAGTATAAAAACTATTAAAAACTGATGAATCTCTGTAACGTGTGGAAGGTGGGTTACCCCACGGCACTCATTAGGCCCATTGTAACATCACATCCAGATGGATGGCTCAGCTGTTATCTTCGAGAACTGCAGAGACACAGATAGGGCAGGACACCATCTCCATCTGCACAACCAGAGGATGTCCACAAGGAGGAGTTCTATCCCCACTAATGTGGAGCCTAATCGTAGACGAACTTCTATGCAGATTGACTGACCTCGGCATACCCTGTCAAGGTTATGCCGACGACATAGTCATATTTGCTAGTGGAAAGTTTAGTAATATCCTGTGTGATATAGTCTAAAGAGGACTAGAACATACCAAAAGATGGTGCCGTGAAGTGGGACTTAGTATAAACCCTACAAAAACAACACTAGTAGCCTTTTCAAGGAAAAGAAAACTTAATCTCAAAACAGTTAAATCAGACGGGATAGATATAGAATGGAAAAATGAAGTCAAACATCTAGGCCTAACCCTGGACAACAAACTTCTCTGGAACACACATGAGAAGGAAGTAGTAAATAAGGCCACAGAAGCCCTAATGGTATGCAGAAACATGGCGGGTAAACGATGGGGATGTAACCCAAACATACTGCGATGGATGTATACTGCAATAGTGAGACCAATCATCACTTACGGGGCTATAGCCTGGAGTAACAGAACTAGTTTAGTTACTACGAGAGCTAATATCTCAAAAGTACAAAGACTAGCCTGTGTTTGCATTACTGGCGCAATGAGAACCTGTCCTACGGCCGCAATGGAGGTGATCTTAAACCTCACCCCTCTACATTTGATGATAGAGAATGTGGCAAAAAGGACACGATATAGAATGATCAGGAGCGGAGTAATCAGACGAAAGTCTACTTGCTTCAGGACTAAAGATACCTGGGACATGCCCCAGGATGAAATGCAAAAGAAGTACAGTTTTGTGAAAAACTTCAAAACCACAGAGCTGGGCTGCAAGAAAGAATGGAGCCAAGAATCCATCGCGCTTGCAACCGAAAGACGTGCTATTCAGTGGTACACGGACGGTTCCAAAACCATAGAAGGAACTGGAATAGGAGTGTATGGGCCGAGAACCAAGCACTCCGAAAGCTTGGGAAAATACCCATGCATCTTCCAGGCGGAAATTCACGCCATCGAGAAGTGTATCCAGTTTAACATCGAGAGAAACTATCATAGACAAGAGATTATCATCATGTCCGATAGTCAAGCAGCCATCAAAGCGCTGAGTTCTTACGTAATCAGCTCAAAAATGGTATGGAGATGCCTAGAACAATTGAATGAGCTAGGCGAGAAAAATAGAGTTACTCTCACTTAGGTCCCGGGACATAACGGGGTACAGGGTAACGAGATTGCAGATAGTTTTGCAAGGAAAGGGGCTCAAACACCCTTTGTAGGACCTGGGCCGTTCTGCGGTATCAGCAGTAACATAATATTAGAAGAGATTAAAAAAGAATTGGGTAGTAGAAGAACCGATAATTGGAACAATCTCTTGGGACTGAGACAGGCCAAGATACTTCTGGGTGAATATAACCAAAAAAGATCGGAAGCCTGCATCTGCCTGAGCAAGAACAGGCTACGTATTGTAACAGGGATCCTTACCGGGCACTGCCGACTAAAAGGACACCTAAGTAAACTGAGAGTAGTAGAGGATAGTGAGTGCAGATTCTGTGAGGAGGAGGACGAAACCTCCATTCACATCCTAACTGAATGTGTAGCACTCCAGAATCCAAGGGCACTATATCTAGGAGGATATCAAATAGAAGAGGGAGACTTACCTAACTTGAAGCCACTTCAAATCCTACACTTCCTTGAGAAAATAGGATTGGAAGGGTCGTTATAGGCATTGAGACATTTCCTTAGTGCAGTGGCGACAGAAGGGGGCACAATAGATCTTTTAGGTCGCAGTGTATTAACACCCCATTATCAACATAACATAGGCCCATTGTGCATCTTTCTGAGGCACCTCCTAGCTCGTGAGCCAGCCTACAGATTTAATGGAGTTGACAACGTCGCCAAGAGGTGCTTCTCTTATATCGGCCGGTGTTAACCGATACTCGCCGAACACAAATCTTCTAAAAAATGAGAGCGTTGAGCAATCGTAAAGGATATGCTCGATGGTCTCATCTTCTTGTTCGCACCCTCTGCAGAGTGCGGATTCTGACAGACCCATGATATGGAGATGATTTCGTACTTGGCAATAACCAGTCAGAATACCTGTGACTAGGCGCAGATTATGTCTAGTCATAGTCAAGTATTTGTTTGCTGCAGTGTTGTCAGGATAACTTAAGAGCTCCCTGGCAACTCTGCAGTTTCTTGTTTCATCCCATTTTTTTTTTAATTTCACAAGAGAATGTTCTTTGATTAGGTCTATCACTACCGATTTTGTCAGGCCAATAGAAGGGCCAGGTCCAAAAAGTATTTGGTTGGCTGCTTTCTTGGCTAGTAAATCAGCAAGACGGTTACCTTTCTATGTGGCGCGACCTTCAATCCATCTTAAGGTGACGTCATTTGTCGGCTAAAGCTTCGTGATATTCTAGTACTAACCCTGAATAAATTCGTGGTCTGTTCAGAGTGAGTAGTGCTTGTCTGCTATCTGTATAGATGAGCATGTTCCTTCCAGTGATATTGTTTCTGGTTATTTCTTTTGCTGCTATGAGAATCCCCGTTAGCTCTGTTTGAACTACACTGGCACTATTGCTCACAGCCCATTTTATGTTAAGGATTAAGAATCTGGAGTATATTCCACATCCTGAACCTTGTTTTGTTTTAGAACCGTCGGTGTAGATATGAATCATACCTGCCACTTCCAGCTCTTCTATTTGTTCTATTATAACTTTATATGGCTTATGAAAGATATATTTCGCTGAGATGAATATAAAATTGGATTAATGTTCTAAAAAATTATCGGTCATTGATCCGAAAACCCAGCTCGGGACAAAATTTTAAAATTTTTCAATAAATGTGAAATTTATTTATTATACACTTTATTATTGTTTAATAATATTTTATATTTTTATAGGTTCTGGCGGTATGCTTGGCGAAATTACCATGCTTCAACTCTACAAAGTCGCATTGACAGCAGGAAAAGCTCACAAAGACCACAAACATCACCATGCTCATCAATTCGACCACAGCGGCAGAGCCATAACAACTCCAGCTCCTACAACGCCTAGAATCAGAGCCACTTTGCCACCCCACCCACTTTTAACAGCAGGTCAAATCAATCAAAAACTCCGAATCAATTTAGCCAATGGTCCTCAAGTAGTACAAGGTCAACAGTATGAAGCTCAATTTGTTAACGGACAATTTGTCGGTAATTTGCTGGGTCAACAACTGGCTGCACAGCAGCAGCAACAACTGCAGCAGCAACAACAGCAACAGCAGCTGCAGCAGCCAATAGCAATATCACCAAGACAGCCTCAACAGTTATTCTTGCCTCAACAACAAGCGGCATCAGATCAAGGATCTTTCTCTAGACAGTATGTCAGCTTCGGCGACACTCCTATAGTAGATGCCGATTTTAATCATGGTATTGACAATTCTGCTCTTGCACTTGAAACGCATAATGTATTTAAGCGACAAAGTGATGTAAAGTCGCGTTCTAAAGTCAAAAGGAGGCAAACAGTAGGTGGTAGCATATTTGAAGACGCCGTGGCAGGTCCGGGTGGGACCTATACTTTCGACCAAAGCCTCCTTCATGGTTTAGCAGGAATCGGGCAAAACGAAGCGATTTCAGAAAAACAGAAACAAACTGAAGACGAAAGGGAACCGGCCGAAGCTGAAGTTAAAGCGGTTCTCAATATATGTACGGGATGCGATCCAGAACCTTTCGATAAGGCTTTGATATTCGGTTGGAGGACTGTACCTAAAAAATTGTATTCCGGTGCTTTCTATACGCCCGCGGTGCCCGAATGCAAGGTCTTCTAGATGTAATGTTTTAACCGTTGTAAATATGTTATTGAATCACTCACTCACTGCCATCAAAATGATAGAGAGTTTATAGTATTATTAATTTAGTATTTATAAATTTGTTATTTTTTTAATAAATGTTAATAATAAAACAGTAATATGACATGATGTGTTTAAAATATTATATTGCATAACAAGAACTGTAAATAGCAATAGTACAAAATCCTTTCAAAGCTGACTTGCCATATTAGTTTATTAGGGATGAACAGGTATCTTGTAAAAATATAATCAAACACATACCAAAACATTTTGCTCGCTCACATGCCTTTAAATGGCGGACTACATATATTTTGACATGTTTAGAAGTATTAGGTGACAATGTGTCACGTCAAATTATAAATATTTTATGTACCTATGTGCTGTTTATTCTTTTTAATTACAGCGTCGAACCTCGCTCACTCTGTATATTTATACCGATACTTGTAAAGTTCTTCTGGTTTGTTAACTGCCACCAAAACGATATTTCAAAGCTTTCTATTTTTGAAATAAAATATGGGTACCTGTTTAGGCTATAAAACAAGGCCACCGAAAAGAAGAATATGTAAGCCTAACTAAACCACGTAAATTAATCTAATAGGTATTTATGAAACCAGTTACTAAATGCCTTATTTTATGTAACAATTGAATATTTGAGGGATGTTTAGAGCGAGGTCCCGCAATATGAACAAAATACATAAAATAATTCGTAACATACAATATTTTTTCTAATTTTAACTAGATTTTTTATAAAACTGTATTTTTTATAAAAAAAATTGACATATAGGCAACTAATACTACTACTTTATTATATTGTTAGTTGCATATGCATCATTTTATTGACAAATAGAACATAATATTATTTATTTGCAACGACTTGTAGTATGTTTATAGGGCCTATTAAAGTTATTTCATTTTTAAAAGTGTGGGTTATTTTGTGACGTAATGTATTTTATTTTATACTAATTTAGAATGTAAAATAAGGACCAAAACAATATTATTACTAGGTTACACATTTAACCAAATTTTATATTTATAAGTCAAGCTGCCCTTCTTTAATATAAACTTTTAATAATAATGTATATTATCGATTTTAAAACCAAAATAGTAGTTTGTGCAACAAGAGTGGATATGACAACCATATCGCACGAAGACGAAATTTGAAAACGACGCCGTAGGCGGAGTGCTCAATCGTCTGAGTGCAATGTGGAAAATCCACTCGAGTTGTACAGTGTATTTTTTCTACGACTCACTAGCGAAAATTTATAAATTAAAAAAAATTGGTTATTAAGGCAAAATAACTAATTTTAAAACAATTTATAATAGTCGCCGGGTGACCAAAATATGAAGTGTGATTGGTGGATTTAATTTTTTTTGCAGTTTTCTCACTACATAGAATGGATATAATATATATTCGTTCCGTTAATGGCAATAGTATACTTTTTCGTTTTGTAGTCTGTGCGTAGATAAGCTAATATTCATGTGGGTGTAGAAAAAAAGTTTATTTTTATTTGTTTACTTCTCTCAACTGGTTTTGAATGTTGGTTTTCGCTTTTGCGCATTGGACATTTACCAAACCTAAGTAGGAAGCAGAATAATCAATATCTAAAAAGTGGCTTACCTTGCTCTTGTGGATATGCTGATGCTGGTACTCCGAGTCGAATTCAGGTTCCGAAAAATAACTGGGATCTTCAAAATGACCAACACCACCAGCAATGCCAATGCCTGCCATTGGTAGACCGCCAGTGACATCAGCAGATTCGAAAAGCCTTAGCACCGATCGATCTCTAATTTCTCGGAGATGAGACCTTTAAGGAAATGAACAACCCTTTAACAATTACTGTCATATTAGATAATAAAATAACATCATAATTAATTGAAGTAGGATAAATTATCTATTGCTTCCAATGTGATCAAAAATATTCAACAATAAGAATAACAGATGCATGAACAGTACCACAAAAATAATTTTACTAAAACAAAATAAACGTGTGTAACTAGCTTTGGCCTCCTTGGGTCATTATTAAACCTAAAAACCTACTTGCTGTGACATACTTACAAGATAAGTGTTAAATTATTTAAAAGTTAAAATGAGTTAAAAAAAAGGGTACAAAAACATATGGGTTTAGCTATAAAAAGGGCAATACCAAGAGTCCATAGTGCAGATATCAGTTAATAAATCATTTATATAGGTAAAAAATTATTTGAATAGCCAATTCTAGTAAAAATATTCTTTTAAAAATGTTAAAAATGATTCACATTTGGTATTTACAATCTAGAGTTTATTTGCTTTACTGCGAGTTAGATGCTGGGATGGATCCAGAGATAACAGAGATATAACCATTCATTAATAAAATATAATATTCACGATGCCAAGATTAATGTCGATAATCAATCATCTGTAGGTCCGCGGCGAGGAGACGAAAGGTAAGAAGTAAGAGAGAGGATAAAGAGAAGGCTTTTACACTTCCAACTTAATATAACTAGGTTTTGGAATTTATTGAAAATTACTACATCTAATTTAGTTAAATTTGATATAACTAATGATTTAATTTTTTTTTGGTTTCTGTTGAATAAAATAGGTTGAATTATTTTAGCTTTTTAAATATATGTAAATAATTTTGTAAACAAAAGGAGAATAATGAAATAGCTATATAACAACAGTGGATATTATACTCTTAGAATGTGTCTTACTCAGCTCACGATATTTGTTAATAATTACATGTTACATCTCTTGTTATCTCTGGATAGACCCCTCAGCTCACCTAACCACCCCTCCAATTCATTATGTTTAGACCACATCTACAATACGTCATACTAAAATATAGAATATTCTTCTCCAATAACATAACCTTAATCTCTCGAATTCACAATTTACTTTTTTTAAGTTAAAAAACTTGGACGCGTATAAATTGGACTCGATAAGCTATAGTTTTTAATTTCAAAGCAACATGCCCGAATTTTGTGCCAAATGCAAATTGAAAAAACACAACTTAATTGGTTGTGAGGGCCTCTGTAGTAATTGGTTCCATCCTGACTGCGATTGGTTAAGTAATGCTGAATTTAAATTGCTACACAAATCCAAAAACCTGTATCTTATATGCAATTCCAGTAAAAATAAAATTGATATCGTCGATAAATCAATAAATGAGTCATTTAAAGAAAAAGTTGATGGCATCAACCACACTATTAATAAAATGATAGCTGATGTTGTTACATCTACAATTTTTGAAAACTTTCGAAAAGAGATTACACAAAAATTAGAATCGTCTTTCCAGTTATTTGAAACTAGCCTAACAAAATTAATATCTGAGAAAATTATTAACAGTAATGAACCATTTTTTGCTGATATTGCTTCGAATTCTAAATTTGTGCTTCATCCTAAAAATACAGTCCAACCGGTATCTACAACAAAATCTGCGAAATGTTGATCCCATAAAGGCCAATATTAATGTCTCCAAAGTCACTGGAACTCATCAAGGTGGGTTAGTCATTAGTTGTGGAAATAAAGATGACTCTTCCTTTCAACATATCATCAACACTAATCTAGGTGACAAATACTTAACGCAAAGCTATGAAATTAGGTAAACTAATAGTCGGGTTTGATTTTGATTATCCTGTGTACTGGACTGTGGTTACACAGAGGTATTTCTGTTGATCATATCGCCTGGGATAAAGAATGTCACTTCTATAAAAGAGCACAAACAAAATTTAGAGATTACATAGTGCTATCTTAATAACAACCAACTAATTCATCTAAAAATCATGTCTGTATTAATTCAACTTCTAAATTTACATTATACTATCAAAATATCAGAGGCCTTAGAACAAAAACTACCCAATTATTTGACAGTGTTTCAGCTAATACACAATATGCAGATTATTTTTTTACAGAAAGCTGGTGTAACGATACAATTCACGACGGAGAACTATTTGATCTCTTAACTTTCGATGTTTATAGGGTTGATCGGAAATATGAAGTAACGAATTTTTCAAGGGGTGGTGGAGTTATCAGTGCTCTAAAAAAGGAGCTAAATTCCAGTATGATTAATATAAGTGATGTGTGTGTTTTAATTCCCGCAAATACCAATATTGATTTTCTACTGATTAAAATAAAACCAGGCTCCCAATGTTTATACATTTTGCTTATTTACATACCCCCCTCTAGTTCAGTTAATGATTATGAGGTAGTTACGGAAACACTATCACTATTTACAACTTTATATGATAAACATTTTCTTGTAATCGGTGATTTTAATATACCACAGTACGCTTCTCAGATAAATGGTCCTAGTATGTCTGCCAAACTAAATGTTGTCAAAACTTCTGCAAATTTTTTTCAATTTAGTCAAGAATAAATTTCAACGCTTATCGGATTTAGTTGACTTTAATAACGAATGCAAGGTTTACAGAGCTGATGAAATAGTATTAAATGAAGATGATTACCATCCATCATTATGCATAGAAATTTCAAGGACAAATACAAATTCACCAATACCCTGTACACCAGATAATATGCATTTCAATTACAAAAAAGCAAATTTCCCAAGTCTCTACAATGCAATAAACAATATCGACTGGAGCTTTTTGCAAAATGTATCTAACATAGATATTAGTATTCAGTTACTGAACAACAAACTATATTATATTTTTGAAGAACATATTCCTATCAAGAAAACGAATTCTACAACTTATCCGCCGTGGTCTAATAGTAACATAATACAAATGATTCGACAAAAAAGAAAAAGCAGACAGAATCTATAAATCCATTCCTACAAATGCTGTTAAATATTCATGAACGAAAAATCACAGTTACGCTTTTAGATCACCCTTATAACACACGATGCAAAGATAACACTGTTGTAGCTCCAAGGTGTTTAAAAACTATTGGACAGAAACACTGCAATTATTTGGGACCAAAAGTTCTCAATTTGGTACCTGAGGAAATAAAAAATATTTGTAACTATAATTTATTTAAACAAAAAACAAAAAAGTGGATATCAAATTGTGACAGAGAAATATTTCATAAGATTGTTAATCAATTGTAGTACAAACACGTTTTAAAAACACTGTACCTAGTACTTGAAATAAATTTATTATACTTACCTTTTACTGACATTCACCCAAAATTGACATTTACCCGAAAGTGACACATAATTACCCACCGGATTTGAAAATATGTATTAGAATTTTGTTTATTTTAATTTAGGATACAAATAAGTTTGCTTGTAAGAAAAAAAAAAAAAAGAAAAAAAAATTGTTTATAGTTTTAGCTATCGTTTTAGATTTTAGGAAACGGATATATCACATACAAGCTGTAGTTGATACAGCTTCTGTGATTCCATTGTTTATTTACAAATGATTTATGTTTATATTACTTACATGTATATTTTCGTGAATAAACATTATTATTATTATTATTATTATTATTATTATTATTATTATTATTATTATTATTATTATTATTATTATTATTATTATTATTATTATTATTATTATTATTATTATTATTATTATTATTATTATTATTATTATTATTATTATTATTATTATTATTATTATTATTATTATTATTATTATTATTATTATTATTATTATTATTATTATTATTATTATTATTATTATTATTATTATTATTATTATTATTATTATTATTATTATTATTATTATTATTATTATTATTATTATTATTATTATTATTATTATTATTATTATTATTATTATTATTATTATTATTATTATTATTATTATTATTATTATTATTATTATTATTATTATTATTATTATTATTATTATTATTATTATTATTATTATTATTATTATTATTATTATTATTATTATTATTATTATTATTATTATTATTATTATTATTATTATTATTATTATTATTATTATTATTATTATTATTATTATTATTATTATTATTATTATTATTATTATTATTATTATTATTATTATTATTATTATTATTATTATTATTATTATTATTATTATTATTATTATTATTATTATTATTATTATTATTATTATTATTATTATTATTATTATTATTATTATTATTATTATTATTATTATTATTATTATTATTATTATTATTATTATTATTATTATTATTATTATTATTATTATTATTATTATTATTATTATTATTATTATTATTATTATTATTATTATTATTATTATTATTATTATTATTATTATTATTATTATTATTATTATTATTATTATTATTATTATTATTATTATTATTATTATTATTATTATTATTATTATTATTATTATTATTATTATTATTATTATTATTATTATTATTATTATTATTATTATTATTATTATTATTATTATTATTATTATTATTATTATTATTATTATTATTATTATTATTATTATTATTATTATTATTATTATTATTATTATTATTATTATTATTATTATTATTATTATTATTATTATTATTATTATTATTATTATTATTATTATTATTATTATTATTATTATTATTATTATTATTATTATTATTATTATTATTATTATTATTATTATTATTATTATTATTATTATTATTATTATTATTATTATTATTATTATTATTATTATTATTATTATTATTATTATTATTATTATTATTATTATTATTATTATTATTATTATTATTATTATTATTATTATTATTATTATTATTATTATTATTATTATTATTATTATTATTATTATTATTATTATTATTATTATTATTATTATTATTATTATTATTATTATTATTATTATTATTATTATTATTATTATTATTATTATTATTATTATTATT